ACCCTCTCCCCAAAGTCATTAGCAAAGTCATTAGCAAATTTGGGCGGGAGTTTACCGTTTCGCGGGTAATCGACCACTTTTCGCGGGAAATCGGTTATTTTTCGCGGGAGATTGACAACTTTTCGCGGGAATCGATCATTTTTCGCGGGAATCTGACCACTTTTCGCGGGAATCGATCATTTTTCGCGAGAAATCGACCACTTTTCGCGGGAATCGATCATTTTTCGCGAGAAATCGACCACTTTTCGCGGGAATCGATTATTTTTCGCGGGAGATCACCGATTCTTTCCGCGGGAAATTTCCACTATTCTATTATAATATTACAATACCGTACAATATATCAATTCTCACAATTTTTATTATAAATTCACATCTCCAACAATTTGTTACAATACTACATATTATTATTTATACATTTTTGCTACTTTCTTCAATAAATAACTACGTTTTAACGATCTTATTACTTTCTCATGGTGAGACTAAGTTCGTATGGACTAAAAATCAGGTTGACCTGTGGTCATATATTAAAAACAGCTATAGTAAAGTTAGAATTTTGTTTCAAATCAGCTCACAATAATAAAATAACTAACTACTTAATCATGCAATTCATGCAAATTCCTTGGATAGCTGTAAATTATTAGTATACAAAATAACAAATCGTCAAATAAATTCAATATCAGAGAAAATATCAGAAATATTTCAAATTAATTTCAATAGCTGAAAGAAAAGTACGTATTATCGATTATTAAGCTGTAACAACAAAGTATTTAATTACTAGATATCTGGAACGCAAAAATTTTCATTGGTAAACCTCTCAAATTCACTTCAACGCCCTACTCGACAAGTCTGAAGAACAACAACTACTAAAATTCGAACGTGGAGTTCCCTAAACCTTCGAAACAATTTCGAAATATTTTATTCGAAGTGGAATATTCAAAGTCCGATCGGGAAAATAATTTTATTTTATTTCTAAACCGAAGTTCGAAGTCGAGTATTTACAGTCTGATATTAAGAGCCTAGCAGGTACCGGTAATTGTTAAAGTTTGATTTAAAAAAAGAAACAAATATTGTCTAATAGGTAGTAATTGAAATTCTATAGTGTATAAGTTTCAGAGGAAGGTAGAGTGTGTATATGGTGGACATAGGCTAGCTAGTAGCCCTCGACCACCTTATTCACATCTCACAACCTTTAAGACTAAGTTGCCGCGAAGTGTCTATGGCCCAGTATAAAGGGTGAATGATTTCGCGGGACATCGATATACCTGCGGTACCCTCACCTCAAAGTCATTAGCGAAGCCGTTAATAAAGTCGGGCGGCAGTTTACCTTTTCGCCGAAAATTGTTTATATTTCGCAGGAAATTTCCGTTTTTCTATCCTAACGTTATAATACCATCTAATTTATTAATTCTCACAATTTTTGTTATAAATAATCTATCTTCGTTAAATAACTACGTTTTAACGATCTTACTACTTTCTCGTGGTGAAAGAAAATTCGCGAAGATTAAAAATCAGGTTCACCTGTGGTCGTATTATTAAAAATAGGTAAAATTATTATGTTAACTAACTTTTCATACAAATGAAAAGTTTATTCAACGTTTGTTCATTGCAATACTTTCTTGTAAATCTTGCAATGAAATTTAGAACAAATGATGCTCCTAATTGCTAACACTTGTTACGAAATGATTTATTTTTTCATTTTAATCAAATAAAATAATGTTACTGTTTATTATAACGTTATTAATATACATGGAATATTCTTGCAAGAATAATACTGCAAGAAATAATCTTTTAGCTAATTATGAAATTTCTATTTAGATGTTATAACGATTATAACGTTTACGTTTCGTCTTTTCTCTGTGAATGATGTATTTAGAAATTATTTAAAACGTTTAACGTTGCGTTATTTAGTTATTATCGCGGTTTCGCGTGAAGGCTATTTATATTTTGCATTTACAAATATAAAATACAGTCGGTGAATTCCATTTGTTTGCACTAACTATGTTTAGGTGTTTGTATGCGTATTTTTCAGAATTTTCCTTGTTTTATACCGATCTTTGGTTATTTCTCGAAAGATCATGTTGAAATTTCATTAAATTCGATGTATTCCAAGCGAACTCCTCTGTGAAACGCAAGAAACTGATTTTTCAGAATGATCCTGCAAAAAATATGACGTCAAGGCTCGATGGCTCGATTTATACTATTTATTCTGCTCGTTTGAAAAAACCAAGTCCGATAAACTTTAGCGGCTGCATGGAGATAAATTTTTAGACGAAAAATAAACCCTGTTGAAAAAAAAAGCTCCTCATTCCATAAAATTCTACTACAACGTGAAATTTATTTTTGAACGCTTCCCTCTTTTGTTATTGTTGTAAATTAAAAATCTCAGTGAAGCTGGAAAAAGTACACAATTTCTCTATTTAATTTGAAATAATATAGTACAAAGATAAAAAATTAAAGAAATATTGTGTGATCACAGATCTGTAAAATTACAGGACAAAGATCGAACATTTACGATTCTGTACAGATCCAATGAAGTCCAACAAGGAAATAACAGAAATCGCATTAGAAGAAAACAAAATTAAAGGAATGAAAATCCTACCAATGAAAATATCGACGGAGGTTTGTTGTAAAGCCAGTAGAAACGCTTGGAACCATTCTAAATCCGATCAATCGAAAATCCCCTGAATCCGATAAACGCGTTCGAAACAGCTCATTCGAAAAATTACCCAATCTGAAACAGATAAAAAGTTCACGATACGAAAAATAACATCTGTACAAGTACATAAACTTCTCCGATTCAACGATTCCGATAAAATCGACAAAACTATACGAAACAATTCAACGTTGCTCTGTTAAAAGTGAGAAAAAAAGCTTGTGTTGTTAATCTAAACAACTGTAAAACGGTTAAATCTGCAATATTTAAATCGTATCATTTGTTTCTATTTTCAGGATTCACCATGCTCTTCGCTTTTCTGTCAGCTTTCTCCTGGTTGAACGTTATGTGCTTCGATATATGGCGGACATTTGGGTAAGACGTTACTAGCACTTTAAATTTCCATCCTCAGATACGCCAGCTTTTGTCGTTCTTTCCCTCTTTTCCTCCATCGAACTCAACTAAATTTTCTCTGAAAAATGTTGTATCGCAGAGTAAATCAATTTCACGTGGTTTCGGTCGACTTTAAATCGAGAAAAATAGAAAAGATAATTAATTCGGGTAAGATATTTAGCAAGACGTTACCAGGACTTTAAGTTTCCACTCTCGAACACGTCAATTCTTTCGAACTAGATGAAATTTTCACAGAAAAATTTCTGTCGACGAATCAATCAATTTGACGTGGTTTTGGTCGATTTGAAGGAAAATAGAAAAGATATTAAAATTGAAGAGTACACAAAGTGACTAACGCGAAACTCGAAATCAAAAAGCATCTTCATCTAAAAAATTTCGACTATTTCATCCGTTCCATAGATTCACCTTCGTGAATTTCATTTCGTTTCATTTTTCAGAGTGTTCTGAAATATTTCGAATTCCACGTATTTTTCAGCTTTCAAGCAAAGCTAGAACGCCCCGTTTGCTTCGCAAGGATTTAGAAACCTAGTTTGTGGTTGTATAACACTGGTTAATAAGTTAAATAGCAATATATTTTTTAACAATAACTATATACACACGTAAAAAGAAATAATGATAATTTCATTGTCCCTCTCTAAATATATCTCGCAATAAATTCTCACGTACTCTCGGATATCAATAGCAACGCGCTTCACCTGTTTTACACCCAGTTACCCTGTATGATCCGCTCGTTTACCAAATCTCGAGATCATACGATATACTCACTACATTCACGCCATCACTCACATCTTATTATTAAACCAATTCCACATAGTTAACAAATTCGACGTTAGAAATGACAGAAACAATAAATTACACATTTATCAACAAATCCTCATTTATCTGAAACGTACAAAAATATCGCAAGGTAGAATTTCTCGCAATTCGCGAAACGTTCTTAATTCCTATTCTCGGACTGCTAATTCCTCTGTATCGTTGCGTTCTCCAACATTAAAACAACAATAATCCAGACTAGCTTTCGTCCACACGGCGGTAATATGTTTACCGAGATTTAATTTTCAAATTACACCGGACGCTGTTAAAACTACGATGGCGGCGTAACTCGCGTCAAGCGTGATGTTTAGCGTAAACTTTGTAACTGCGACCGGTGAATTTCCGGTTTCGAGTGTGACTACTGGTATTAGCTGTCTCGTTCTCGCAATTACGATCTATCGCAGAAAGTGGAGTGTCACGGTTTCTCTCGTTTTTATTTTCCTCCTCTTTCCTCGCTACATTTTCCCTATTTTTATCTCTTTGCTCTCCTCTTTCCTCCTTTTTTCCTTCCTTTTTCGGTTTTACACAACTGTAATTTTGAGATAGTACTCGGGCTTCTGATTTAATTTCGCGCTGTCACTTCGCGGGAGGATAAAATACATTACGTGGAACGAAGCGACTCCGAGTTGTGAAATTACGGGATTTTTATCGACGATATTCCAAGTTGGTTCTCTTCGGTGTTTGATTGATTATTTAAGAGACTTATCATTGGTTTTATGGGACGTTTCGTGCTTCATTTTGTCCGACTGTCTTGAATAAAATTACTTGGAATATTTTATATATTTATTAGTGAAATAAATAAATAAGTAAACATTTTTTGAAGTAAACCTGAGAAAGATTCTTTTTTAAATATAGAATTTAAATTAATTAAATGTAAAAAAAATATATACACGCACACAAATTAGGAACACGCTGATTTACCGTTGGCAGTAACTTTTTTAAATTAAAAACGCAACTTTTCGAATATCTGTAAAAAGAGGTATTCTCCTTTAAATTAGCAATCTTACAATTCCTTTTTTCCGATGTCTTTCCATCGAATTAGATCAGGACTATATTTGAATCTCCTCGTTCGATCGATTTCCAATTGTTTCGCGGGAGATCTTGATTCATCGAAGGTTCTCGTATGTAGTCCCTCATCCGCCACATGCCGCGAACGTTTGTGTTTCTAACTTGCTATTCTTGCTGGTGGATTTGTAAATACGCGGGGAAAGTCGATCTACGTGAACTGAGAATCGTTTTGAAAGGTCGCCTCAACATCCTCTGTTTTTCTCGTTGGATATTGTGAAATTGTTTCCTCGTCATTTTACTAAATTAATTTCATTCCCAACACTTCATCCTCCTTTCACACTTTCATTCATAAATACCGTTTAATCCTACAGAGAAACCTCTTGCGTTGCAGCCATCAACATTGCATAATACAGTACACCGTCAATTAAAGAATATCAATAGAATTTCATTTTTCTATCCTTCTATTTTTATTATTTCCAAACCAATAATGCAATAAGAAAACAATCCGACGACGAAAATTTCATGCGAAATTTATGCTTCGTAAATGACAACGAATAATGAATAATAAACTGATGCCACAATTCAAGAGGCCAATTCACTTGTCCCTCCTTCTTATGCCAGGAAAACCAGTTCTTCGATTCTCTTGATCCCTAGCATCGATACGTATTAATGTGGAAATGCAACATTTATCAGCCGAATCGTTTTCACATCAAACATTCAACTTCCTTACAAATAAACCTTCTCCCCGCTGTCTCGCCGTTTCCTCAAACTGATTGTTAGTTTATCGACCGTTCTGCATGATTATCTCTTCTACACTTTTTCCCCTATCTACGTCATTCCAATGTATTCTTTGACGTAATTAGAGGTTTCACCCAGCAATTTTTTCACCAAACTCTTAAGTATTAAAAACAAAAGCACGTCTGTATGTTTGTAAGAGATATTCTTAGCCAGCTTCCAGGATAAACTGTTTTAGATCAGGGTTGCACTAACAAGGGTTTAATCATTTCAATGCAGCTATCACACAGTCTCTTTAAATTTGATAATTTGTGAAATTAATTGTAATTAAAGAGATTGAAATTTTCTGTTCTTCTAGAACTTGAATAATTCATTTCAGTTACCGAGTCATGTGAAACTGTGCTTTAATCGAATATTGAAGTAACGCTTGTTCGTTCGAAAGAAATTTCAACGATAAGACACGCGGAATGCTGTCTCTGATCTCGTTATGTATTTTTAAACGGCTCGAAGATAGAACAACGATATCACGGTAATCACAGTTTCCCCATTATACTCTTAACACGCATTTCTCGTTGCATAGTTTAAACGCTCCGCGTTCTCCTTCTCTCTAATTTTAGTTTATTACCGTTGCTGGATTGTTTTTCACAAACCTTGAGCGAAGTTATAAGCGTAACTAAACTCGAGATCACCATCTGCTAGTACTAACTGGAAACTTTTCGCTAACGATACGTGGGTTCATCAACACCATTTGCTCGCTAAAACTTCAAATTTCACTCTCTTCTTTCTGTGAATTACCGCGAAGATGTAGAAAATCCATCTCCAAATGATTTCCCAACACTTGTGTTATTTATCTTTCTTTAATTTTATCGAGTACGAATATTTCGTTTCAGGAAATTAGTTATTATACACGTGTAGACAATTAACGATTTAGCTGTTTTCATCGGTAACGTTGCGATGGTCTTGATTTTGAAAGGATAAGTTTCATATTATAGTTGATAGGAATTGTATTATGCAAATAACTGTGTAATTCAAGAATACTTCCTCAACGCAGACAGAGCTGTACGTAGAATTAGCATTATACAACTAATTATGATTTCAAGGCTTCGGATAACGTACGATTCCTATGTAGGTTCAGCGAAGTTAGAAGAATAGCGTGTCACAAGCTGCAGCTACGTTCTCACTTGTAAAATCTCGATTTTCATGCTAAACCGATTTTACATTTTCTTAATTTTCACCCGTTCCCACTTCTTCCTTTCACGAATATGTTCTTTTTCTATTTTACACGAACATATCTTTTTCTACTTTGCCGAGAGAAACGTCAAGCATTTCAAGCTACTGGAAGATTCTTTACAAACTATATCTCTTTTCCCTTATTTATACTAACGAAATATTTTTGTATTAAAAGAGAGAGAGTGAAATGTCGAATTTTTTCTAATTTATACTGAAAATATTTTTGTATGAAAAAAAGAGAAAGAGAGAGAGAAATTTCAAACTTCTTGTAATTTGTACCAACAATATATTTTTCTATTAAAAAAAGAGAAAGAGAGGGAAATTTTGAAACATTTGAAGCTATTGTAGATCTCTTGCAAAGCAAACGACGTCTCTTTTTCCTGGTTTATACTAACGAAATATTTTTCTCTCAAAAAAGAGAGAAAGAGAGAGAGGAATGTGAAGCATTTGAAGCTACCGCAGATTCTTCACAAAGCAAACGATATCTCTTTTTCCCAGGAGGTTACAAGGCAACATAACCAGGAGCCGTAGCCACAACAAGAAATTCTTGTTGTACTGTTTATACGCATGGGGCCTGCCTATATTCATCACCCTCTTCGGCATCCTCAGCGACCAGCTCGATTTTCTACCGCAAAATCTGCGGCCTGATTTCGGCACGACAACCTGCTGGTTCTCAAGTGAGTTATCGACTGGAAACGATAAGCCTTGTATTCACCGTGATAAATCGCGTGTTACCCCGTTCAATCGATACGTTTATTCGGGGGATGTACGATTGAAAAAGAGCTCATGGCTTTTCTATGGCAATTCGACAGTTTGCGCCTCGATTCGTTTTAACAACGCCGATCTGGACACTTCACCTCGATCTCCTGTGAATTGAACGCGACTTTGCCAACATTTGTCCACGATAAGTTCGGCAAAACTGTGAAGCAATCCTTTTTCGCGTAGATTGAAAAATGGTGCACGAGGCGAGAAGATATGCGTTTCATTTCACTTTTCTGCTTAACACGTTGAGCGCGGAGCCGATTTCGCTCTGCTTCCCGTTCAGGCGGCACACAGCGGCGATCACTTCGCGAGCTGTTCGGTTATAGTGTATGAACAGAAGATAACAAATGCGCTCGCACGGCATTCAGACGAAGAAATACCAATCCGGGTTGATAGAAGAAGTGTTCATAAATTGCAAAAAAAAAGAAGGAGACGTACGTAACATTTATTTTTTAAACATGATACTGCCGGTCCCACGGACCGGCGCCACCCAAACCAAAAGTTCACTGTCAGTCCCCGGGGACTGACGCCGCGCTTAACGTGTTAAAATAGATATTTCTATTGTGTTTAATGCTTTGCACTCGACAGACATCAGTCCATTCGAAGAATAATTTCCAAAGAAATTCTATGTTATAGGTGATTTTTGATACACGGTAGATCGTTCAATTCGTTTTTAACCCTTTCGTGACTTGAATACGAACATGTCCCACTTGAGTGCTCAAACAAAAATTCATTTCAATTTGATATCCGTTACAGACGTGAAAATTCTTCAAAAAAATTATTCTATCACGAAAGGGTTAAAGTGGCTATCAGGTACCGATAAAAAAAAATAGAATTCCGTTTAAAAAACGAAGCTACTCTCGCATTTCATTAATCCCTCCCAACAGAATAAAATTATTATTACTACATTACCGTCTCCATAAAATTCGAAAATTTTTGTCGAAGATATTTCGATGAAATTTTAAATACAGCACAACTATTTCAAACGATAAACTTAGACGAGACACCCTGTATGTTTCTTTCGAAGCGAAGAAGTTACACGGATATTCGTGTCCTGTTATCGAGAATTACCGAGTGAATATCAATAATTAGAATTAAATTGAGTAACCGTGAAACTACTAGAATTTCTATTCTATCGGGGAGTGTGTGTCTGACAATGAGTATAGGAAATCTGGTTTTCGTCTTGGTTGGTAAGCAAGTTTGAACGTGGCAAGTAGTGGAGACAGGGAGAGGAGGAGACATAGTGATGTAGCTGGTAGTAAACTTCTAGGGCCAGGACTCGGGGGAATATTCAAGCGACTCCTAGGCAACATTGTGTGCTTCAAGAACTCTGAATATTGTTGTTTTTAAATTTATTTCTTAAAACTGTGCGACAAATATTTGCAAATTTTTCAATATTTCCGTTATTTGTTATCTCTTGAAATTAAATTTGGGGATAAGAATAAAATGAAATAAAATTATTTCTTATTTAATTTAGTAAGCCTTTTCTAACGAATTAATTTTTCTGTTTCCAACGAAATTCATTCAAATTGATAACGATTTGCAAAATTTTTACGTCGATTTAAATTAAAGAAAATTCATTACTTCATTCGAGAAACTTTTATTGCATTTTCTGCTTTTATGAAGGTATTGCGATAACAATTGATCAATTGCTTCTACTAGAATATAACATTCCTGTCTTTGAAGTTTCATATTTCTCATAATTATTTTGATTTATTATTGTCACGTTAGATAGTTTTAATGACACAGAGAAGTTCGAGTTGGTATAACAACGCCAAGCATCGTGATCGCGTGCTACAATTAGAGTTTCTCCGAGTGGTCTAAAAATCGTCTAGTTAGGACGAGAAAATACAGATTCCTCATCAATTTCATAAAACTTTCCGCTTTTCTAGACAGACTTTACGAAGTCTGATGGCCATCGATTAAACACCTCAAGTTTCGTCGAACTTGACAGAACAGTGTCTAATGATTCCATTGAAACGAAGTTGAATCTTGGGCGAATTATCTGTTCCACTATCAGAAAATGCCAGAGAAGAAAATTTCAGGAAAAAAGTAATAACAGATATTCGGTAGACTTTAACATAAATTAGACATGAAATAAATCCTTGTTTTTTAAAATAATATTCTCAGTATTGTAAAAGAACTAGAAACTAAACTTAATATTTAACTTGTCATAATAATTTATTAATCATGCCCGCTTCAAATTAAGAACAGAATATTCACAGAAGCTAATTTACATTTCATACTCTATTCAGATTTCCTTTCCTCCTCTTTTAAAGCAATGATTAAAACGATTTATTCGTAATTTAACGATTAATACAGGGGAGAGTCGTGCAGTACCGGCCAAAGCTAGATCTCGCTTATACCGTTAGTTGACTGCGCTATCGATGGAAAAACAAGTAAATACTATAGCCCTGAGCAACGTATTCCGGCGACGTTCTTTATTCTTCAGTATTACCAGAGTTCTAAGACGTTGTTCCGCACGACAAAAAGTTATTTTTCATAGCTGCAATGGTTGGGCTCACGTCGAGTGTACGGATCAAGAAAATATCGATCACTTTACCTGTGATATTCGTAGACGTGATTTTTACTAACATTATTTATTACTTAGACCTTCAAATCTACCAACTAAGTAGCTGGCCGGTACTGTACGACAATTTTTCCTTCGCTGCAAATTACAACTTTTTTATTTCTACCAATTATTTAGCTTTATGAGAAAATTTAAGAAAAACCATTTGTCCCCTTTTATTAAGCACCCTTTGCACTACAAATTAATTTTTTGAAATTTCATCTTTACCAATATTAGCCCAAGTTATAGTACAACAACTTAGAGTGGCCGGTACCGCACGACTCTCCCCTACACGTATTTCCTCTCGCTTTTTCACGTTGGCAATTCTCCGGAATAGTCGCGTTCCCGACAAAATATCACCAGACATATACACGCTCGACTAATTACTCTGTTTGCGAAAGATAACAGGTCCTTCTTAAGCGAGGATGGAAAAGGGTACACGCGTCAGGCAACGCGAATTTTTACCGGAGTATTCGTGGGAGAATCGTGCTCTTTTCTCCTCTTCCCACGGGTACGCTTAAATTTCCGGAATTAAAGCGATATAATGCGGAGAGTCCTGTTAAAAGAACAACCTGCGAGCTCCCTCAGGATTACCGTCTGCTACCGGCACAAATTGCGGCCACGGATTTCGCGCTTTTTCAAATCAAATATTGAATTAACGCGGAACACTTCCGTAATATTTTCCCCCGGTATTATATTCTCGGTATCACAGGGATCTTCTTCTTCCGAGGAAAAATTTGCTCTCTCGCGGAGAAATGATATTATCTGCCGGATTTCGTGGAAGTAAAAGCTCGAAAGTACAACCCCGGGCAGAGGGTAGAAAATATTTTCCTTCCGTGGATGCTTTTTTTCACTTCCTACTACTGATGGAGTCTCAGTTCGGCATGCAAATGTAACATATTCAGATGAGCTTTTCTTACAAGGGATATCTACGGTATTTCGCGTAATTTCGATGTTACTTTTGGCATTATTTATTATTGAATTATTAGTATTAATGTATTTACCATTTTGCAAAAAAGCACCTAGTTTTCAGGTGACATTTATCGTTCTAAAAAATTAATTAAAACTCGAGATCAACGATGGCCATTAAAGAAGATACAAGATTTATAAAAATACAAGGACAAGTAGAATTTTCAGGGAAAGGGAAAAAACAGAGAGATCTGAAAAGATTTATAAGAATACAAGGAATTGTACACACGTAACTATTATGCAATTATTATTCAGGAAGCTGGTGTATATCTATGTATAATACTGTAGCATCGGGGCCTCCATACCCAAATAGGAAACCTCGAAGGGAGAATATAGAGGGAGTGGTTGGCGTAGTGCGCAAAGCCTCGGCTTGCTAAGCCGAAGGTCCCGGGTTCGATTCCCGTTGGGGTCCCTCGATATTTTTTCCTAGGTTCCTACAATACAAATGAAATGTAAAAAATGAAGATTTTAAAGGCATTGAAAACCGATTTAAAAAAACATCAAAAGTTTACTGTTTCTTCTTTACGCTAGGATCGCTCTAACATAGTTCTGGCGTTTTTATCTCAGTTTTCGGAAATTTCCCACTCACAACCTTCCTGTAAGGAGCAAAATTCTCTAATTTACACAATCTTAAAGCAAGTGTACTTCAGACATGTTACACTTCAACAGCAGCAAATTCGAAAACGCGTTACGTTGCTATTCTTTACGTATCGAGGAAGTTGTCGTCGCAGAAAAACTTGGAAATAAATAACACGTTCAGCAGCGTTAAAGCTTCCATGCTCTAGAAGTAACAGCGACACTTGAAAAGTTAGGAAATGTGTCTACACGACAAAGTGACTGAGTGGCGACTTTTCGATGTATGCGTTTGTACATGAACAGGGGTGAGTTCTTAAGGGTGATGTTTTAGAGACAATGGCGCAGTTTAGGGCGACAGAGCGTAGAGTACGCAAATATTTAGCGTACAACAAAACAGTCGTATATTCGCTTTTGCTACTTTGCAGTTGTCGATTAAAGCTTTTTCTCACGAAAACCTTATGTTACGTTTGTAACATTCCACCACTGGAACTGCATATCGAAGAATTCACTGTAATTTCAGTCTTCAACAAGTAGATGACAAAATTTAAATTCACGATTTTGTGAAAAGAAGAAAAATGTTAAAAAATGAATTCTTAAAATAATCTGCAAAATTGACAGATTTTTTAAAGCATAAATAGGATCCATAGAGGATCGTATTTAGGTAAAAATAATGATTTTTCAGATTTCCCTTTATCTGTGCGCAAAAGTCATTTCTACAGTGAAAAATTCACCGTGTAACAAAATTAGCAACGTGACGAAATAAAAATTTCGAATTTACCAACGCAAAGTACACAAGCTCACAGAATACTCTCTGCCCTTTTGTGCTCTTTCAATCCAGTCTATACTTTAATTATTGTAATTTGCAAAAGGGTTAACAAAAGACCGGGGTTATATTTCGGCCACGATGAACCGTGTCCTCTCGATGCTTTTCACTTCACGTAACGTTTCTTCGCCGGTTTCGCTAAACGAGTGTCGGCCATTCAACTAATTACACTAATTAGTCCGTGTTGGTAGACAATGGTTTTGCACGAGATTCAGCTTTAAGAAAGGCAGCTCGTTAAAGACGACTGGAGACCAAGTTTTTTATAATACAAATGTTCCGCGGCTATTTCGTTCCCCTTTCTCCATTCCTTTCTTTCTTTCGTTCATTGTTGTTTTCGCTGTCTGAATAGCGAGGCGAGAGTTTATTGGAACCAAGGTCGAGTCGCGAGAGTTACTTAACCCTTTTTTTTCTAACGAAAAATCCTCGGATATTTCACTCGAAAGTGGAACGATTAAATTCTGATCGATGTTGAAAATATTCTGAAAATTTTCTATCGTACATTTTTCGAAAATTTGTTACTGGATGAATTAGATTATGTTAAATTTATTCGATATCGTTGCTCTGCGATAGAAAGGGAGAAGTGTTTGATATCTTTTAAATATTTTTTCGCGAAGAAATTTTACTGAATTTTATATTATACATATTAAAACTGAAAGTGTAACTGAAAAAAAAAAATCGGTAGGCAGATCCTGAATGTTGAGAGAGTGCGAGTAATAAACGAGAATCAACGAAAGTATCCGATATAATCGAAAAGTTGTCTATTTCAGGTGTAATAAAGTATCGATTGTCGCTCGATTCATTTACGAATTTACGTTGGCGTTTTGCAGCTTTGCCGGGTTTCTTCGGTGAAATGGTTTTCTTCACGGTGCCGGTTGCGGTCCAGCTGACAACGAACGTGGTGTTCTTTATTCTCACGGCAGAGCAGTGTAGCAAGGTGAAAGCCGAGATAAGCAGGGTTGTCGACCCATTGGATCCTAGGAGCAGACGATTTCACGCTGACAAAACTAAGTAAGTTTATCGACTGTTACCTAAACACCAGGTCAAAGTGAAATCTGACGTACATCTAAACCATAATCTACCGTTTACCGTCCTTTCAAAATCACCAAACTAATTCAATTAGTCTCTATTATCTCGCGCGAAATATGTCATTTCCTTCCCTTCATTTAACCCTGGTGTTGCGTCGCAGACGCGAAACATAATTTTTGCATCAAAACTGAACCGAGTACTCGGATATTCGGGTCAAAATTGACCCGAGCACTCGGATATTCGGGTCAAAATTGACCCGAGCACTCAGATACTCGGGTCAAAATTGACCCGAGCACTCAGATACTCGGATATTCGCGTCAAAATCAATCCGAGTACTCGGATATTCGGGTCAAAATTGACCCAAGTACTCAGATACTCGGGTCATAATTGACCCGAGCACTCGGATGCTCGGATATTCGGGTCAAAACTGACCCGAGCACTCGGATACCCAAAATTCCGATATCCGTAAATCTTCGCAGCAGTAAAATCCCTACTCTCAACATTAACCCTTTCTAACGTGTTTCTCCGATCGACCCAGGTTCATCATGAACGTGAAGCTGTTCGTCGTCATGGGTATATCCTGGATCGCGGAGATCGTCTCGTCTTTCGTGAATCGGTACAGCAATTACAACTGGCGGGAGGAGTTATTCTACGCGACGGACGGTATAAATTGTCTTCAAGGACTTCTGATATTTCTCTTGTTCGTGATGAAGCGTCGCGTTCATCAGGCGTTGAAGAAACGGCTCGGATTCGACACGAAGAAGAAGTCCGACAGTAAGGGGACATCGACGATTCACGATCCGTGTAAAATGAAAAAATGCGCCAGTAACAGCACTTTAACGTGCAGCTTCGCTGTTAGCGGAACACCTTGAACAAAGATCACACGGAATAGTCTCCGGTGTGATTAACATTCGTAACGTGAACGAATATATTTTTGTTGTTTTACCGTTTAATACTACTTACTTCTCTCACTTTTAGGATTATTGCTGTTTGTCGTTCCTCTACTAGCATTTCTTCGCTTTGTACATTCGCCAGTACAGTATGTAGCAAAGTGTGCGCTACCGTGTTCGAAAAGTTCCACGACAAACTCGTTCTTCGATTATCGCGGTATTGTACACAAAGAATTATCCTATCGACTGGTCAAACGGTCGATAAACAATACTACTTGCGTGTCACGAGGTGTTTGTGTGATTCGATTTGTACGAAAAAAACGGGTTGAATTTATGGGAGAACAGCTTTTGCAGCATAACACATTTCGATGCTTGTTCGCGACTTTTTGGTAGAAAAACTCGACTAAAGGAGAACTCGCGCGACCTTTTCCTGTTTTCCAGAATGAAACTTCCACCGTGGAGATGCTGTTTTCGGTTTAATCGAGGCGATAAAGTAAATTTTGTTTAACGAGCTAAAACTCGCGATAGAAATCGAGTTTCAAGAAATGTGGATCCTTTTTATCGTTTGATCAACAAATAATTTGTGTCTCGTTCGATTCGTCCTGGAATTTTTCGAATAGAGTAGATAAAAAAAAAAGCGATTGAGATTTTTTGCGTTAGAGAATTTCGGAGATGTAGTTGAATGTAGACTTCTTTTCGAAAATTGGTACGAATTAGCCTCGCTTCTACTTTTCCTCTGCACTGTCGTGAAAATGCCACTTTACCTCACTGCCACGTTTGCTAACCGTTTTTAAAGCTTCTGTGCGATGCGTTTTTAAAGCGGCCAGACGGAGAAAATGAAAGCGGCAGATGTAGAATTTTTAATCGAAATCATACAACGAGCTATAAATTTGCTGTGTAAAAAAAAATGCTGATTTTTTCACGAGAATTGGAATCATTTTCATACGAGGTTTCTCTTTCTGGTTAAAGAATTTTTTATTTATCTAGTCCGTAATGTTTCAACGAGTGAATTTCCATTCGAGTACTGAAGTGCGACACGAAGGGTTAACCACTGTTCTATAATTACTTTCGATTGTTGAAGAAAAAATCATCTATGTAAAGTGTATTTTATGAAATATGCTAAGAATTTCTGTTAAATTTCTTAGACTGATAACAAAATTCTACGTAACAAAGTGTAATACGCCATTGAAACGAAAACTTCACTTCGTAATTTTCTTAATTTGTCCAAAATATTTAAACACCTGTCGTATCAATTGAAACAACTTTCACGTATAAATGTTAAATTTAGACTCGAAAACACATCCACATAATTTGCTTCACTGCGACAAAGCGAAAAGTTCGAATGCTAATTTTACGATTCTTCCCTGTTTAACCCTTTCGCGATCGAATTATCTTTTTTTCAAGAATGTCTGATTAATTTACCGATCGACTTCCATTCAAATACTCAAGCGAGACAAGTGCTCCACTGATCATGAAAGGGTTAACGCGAATGGAAACACCGATTAACGTAGACGAAGATGAAGCGAAAGTTCGAACTTGTGAAATTTTCATTTTGCACCGAAACCGGCGTTCTCTTCGCGCGGTTACAGTTAATAACGAACGCGCTAAACTACGTTTTTAGCTACGTTTTAGCACGTTTAAGCTACGACAATTTCACGTTTCGCTGGCCAGCAGCGGCGGAAATTCGCGTGAATATTTCAGACAAGCGGTGTCAGCCGGACGCTGCGTAAAAAAGATTTTCAAGAATGTCTGATTAATTTACCGATCGACTTCCATTCAAATACTCAAGCGAGACAAGTGTTCCACTGGTCACGAAAGGGTTAACGCGAATGGAGACACCGATTAACGTAGACGAAGATGAAGCGAAAGTTCGAACTTGTGAAATTTTCATTTTGCACCGAAACCGGCGTTCTCTTCGCGCGGTTACAGTTAATAACGAACGCGCTAAACTACGTTTTTAGCTACGTTTTAGCACGTTTAAGCTACGACAATTTCACGTTTCGCTGGCCAGCAGCGGCGGAAATTCGCGTGAATATTTCAGACAAGCGGTGTCAGCCGGACGCTGCGTAAAAAAGAGTATACGTCGTTCAAAATGAGAGTAACCTCGCTCTCGGACCGATTCTCGTCCGTTCTGCGCATAGACAGAGAGCGTAGCCGAGGGTAAGACGGAGAAAAACGTAGGTGGTTAAGTGGGGGTTCGGCCGTTCTAGTGGTTCTGGCCAAAATGAGAGTAACCTCGCTCTCGGACCGATTCTCGTCCGTTCTGCGCATAGACAGAGAGCGTAGCCGAGGGTAAAACGGAGAAAAACGTAGGTGGTTAAGTGGGGGTTCGGCCGTTCTAGTGGTTCTGGTCCTGCCTTAGGCACGTCCCATGCGCGAAGCGAGGTTACTCTCATTTTGAACGGAGTACAGACAAAAATGCACCCTTTGCCGTTTGCAATCTCCTCCGTTCTCCTGCCTCGTGAAACTTTTTAGAAAATGTACACCGCCGTTCGTAGGTATTAGGACACCTATTATGATTGCGCGGAAAATGTAATACGATTTAAGTTACACTTCTTCGTCGAAATTAGTGTCATATATCAGCCGAGATGTAGAGAATGTTCACGCTACGGTAGTTTCCAACGTTTTCCTTAATTTTCGTTAAATGACAGATCTATGAAAAAAATAGAAGAGGACAAAGTTTCATTACTTTTTTTATACAATAGAATGGCTTGAATAGATTTTTTTAATTTGCAATGGTTTTCGCGTAATGACGATATCACGATTTTTTTTTTTAAATTAATAATTATAACTGTTTTTGTGTTATAAAAATCATTTTTAAACTCAATTTTGTGTCAACGTTTGGTGTGGCATAATTAATGACACACTACCAGGGCTTTATTTTTAAATGGAAGTAACTCTAATAGCTGAATGAAATAACTATTACTTTTATGGAAATAATTTCAAAAATATTTAAATGGAATCACATTTAAGAGTTTTATTCATTCAGAGATTTCAGAAATGATTCTATAATCATTTTTTTCAGGATGTTAATAATTTTTTAACGAATGTTCAGCTTCATATTCAACGAGTGTCCTAATATTTATGAACGCGAGTGTACGTATACACGTGAAAACGCTTAATAATTTACATTTTAGTAGATCGAACTATCGAAGTCACATGTTTTTTGATGGTTTAATAAAAACGTTAATTGTACCTCAGGGATAAAAAACAAAATATATTGTATATTTTTCAATGTTGATATGTCAAATGTTGTTTTATATATACATATTATGTATAAGTTTTGTATAGTATTACGTGTTTATTTCTAGTTTTCTATATTTTATTATGTATAGTCTATTGTATAATGCGTTGTTTTCGTTGTATATGTATATAATTCAGTCATAGATGTAATTAAACGATTGTCACCGATTGTCAACTAAAGATTAATTAATAAATCCCAACTCTGTACAGTAGAAGTTTGATTATCTATAAACTATTCATGGACACGCTTTTTGGATAATTGAAAAATTCTGCTTTTGCACGAAGGAAGATCGTTTTTGCATTGAAATATTTTATAAATATTATTAAAAAAGAATTTAGCAATCATGACACACACTTTTTGGATAATTGAATAATTCTGGTTTTGCCTGAAAGAAGATCGTTTACTTTGAAATATTTTACAAATATTAATATTAAACGAAACGAAAATTTTAGAAATTTTCTTTAGTCTCTATTTTTATTTTCCAATATCTTTCAACTGCTCACCGTTAACTAAATTTTCTATTAATCTAATAATCGAGGTTCTACTGTACCTTTGTACCGCGAAACATTCATTCAAATATTTCAAATGTTACTATTTCGAATTAATAAAAAGGTGCAATGAAATCTTCTACTGTGTTCAAATTAAATTCACAGCTTTTTCAAACACCACTTGAACAATGAACAAATTCTTTTCAACTCCTACGATTGTGTATTTAATCTCCTCTGAAAAACCACCTTGACAAAGGAATTCATTACTTCTGCAACTACTGAACATACGAACTTCAATTTTCTATCGTTTCACAATCGTAAAAGGCTTGCCTGTTTCGATCAATTTTTCTGTTTCATTGGCGAAATGATTTTTGCAACATGGAAATATCGAAAAGACGAAGAATTCACGGAGAAAGAGAAAGAGAGAGCAAAGAGGCTCTTGTAGCTCTCGAACAAAAGCGACGCACCGTCTGGAAAAATGCTCACACTTTTTAAACCGGCCCTAAATCACGCGAAAGCACGATAAACGGCTTTTTTTCGAAAGGTTTATATCCGTCTCTCACGGCAGCGGAGGAAACGTTGCGTCGATTATTTGCGCGTCGAAGGAAAATAATCGCAGCGGAGGACAGAGTCGACATATTGCAAACGCGAAAATTGCAGCGCGCGCAATAATCGTGCGATTTCACCGAACCTTTGCTACGTTCCGCGCTTCATTCGCGAATTTTCCACAAATATTTTCGCGAACGAAAGTCTTAGCAGTTTTAGGTTTCGTCGATCTGCGAAATTTCGCCTAGGACAGAGGAAATTTGATTATATTTGAAATATATTTTCAAAGAGAATTCTTTCATTTCTTTAAAAGAGATTTTTCTCAAATATTTTGGCGAATATCTACTCATATTAGTAATTTTAATTTCCGTTAATTTGCGATATTTTGCCTATGACGATTTTTTCGAGCAAACTACAAGTTTTGAGATTTCGAATGGAAAATTGTGCGAGCTTTAATTTCGCAAAGAAAATTCAATATGAAACACGGAGTATGTTTCGTTATTTTAAAAATATTTTGTTAAAGAGATTTCTTTGATTTCTTTAATAAATATGCTCTTTAAAAGTGCGTTATTTCAAGAGTGTAGAAAAAACAGGACGAAATTAAATAGTAACTCGTCTTTTACCCAGTAGTAAATTTAGGCCATCGCATTTTAATTATAGTTAGGGTACATTTACTCGCAAGACTCTCACAGACTAACTCAAAC